TGGAGACTTTGAAAGTCCTTCTTTGGAGTTATGTGGTGGGATTGTAGAGTTGAGCGCACAAAAAACAAGTTGCAAGGCAAACATGTTTACATCCATGGGGCAATCCCCTGGACAATGGACTACAAAGGGGTACAAGGGTGACAAAGACCACTGGCTAAATTGGCAAGGGCCAACAAGCAAACAGGTGTGCAGAAAAACAGGTCAGCATCCTGGAAAATAATCTTCTTGCATCATTCCAACATAACTCAAAGGTGACAGAGGACAAATACTGACACATGAAAAGAATGGTAAGGGCCAACTTCAAGTTTTCTACTAACTTTTCACTTGCAAGTCGTATGGAGACTGCAACTAATCCTCTCACGTACAGAGTCGCACCAGACAATGACAAATCAGAAGAGTCAGAAGCAGGCGCAAAAATAAAATCTAGGGGGCTGACATTGCAGCAGATTGAGAGTGGACCAGGCCTGGCAAATCAGGTGTGCGAGCTGAATCTCGATACAGAGATTTCTAGAGTCTGAAATTGTTGGCACCTCTCAATTTACCCAGGAAATGGAAAACGATGCGAAAATATTGAAATCTTGGCACCCCCATTTCATTAGCACTTTGGAGGCTAAAATGGGGTTGGCCCCCAGGGGTCCTAGGTGATTTGGTATGCCCAGACGGCTCTGTATAATCTGACTCAAAAGTCGCAGTGTTTCACCTGCACATGTCTTCGAACTTCCTGCCTCTCACATGTCGATCCTTTTCCCAGTCACTGGACCGCGGGGTTCCGCAGGAGCGCTTCGCGGGTCGCCTCCCGCCCTGCAGCGGCGGGAAGGGCTCGCTCGAGGCCAAGGTGACGCTGGGCAAGGCGTGGGTCTGTGGGGAGCTGCCCCACAGCATGCAGCGCTGGGCGTTCGGGTTGGATGGTTCAAGGTAGGTGAATCCCTGTATTTTTGGGGTTTTCAGAAAGGGTGGGTGCCTTCGTGCTGAAGCGGACCGCTGGGATCGGAGTCTCCCTTGACTTCAGTCTCCGCTGGGAAGGGAATCGCTGGGAACGGATCACCTCTTCCGAAAGCATCGAGGCATCAGTGGATGATCCGAGGTACCTTTTGGGGGTTTCCGAGCCCACGCGGTGCCATTGGGTGTCATTCTACCGGTAGGAAGCCTTCCTGTCGCAGGAAGTCATGGGTCGGACACCCCAAGCTTTCTAGCCAAGGGGTGGTGAAGCATCGTTGTGTTCCACAACCCAATAGGCAACTGCGGACATGTCATTCATGGACTAGACTAAACATTCTCAGGTCTTCGAGTTCGATTCTCAGGTCTTCGAGTCTGGGTCACTTGGCTTTAGCAGGTCACTTCCCTGCTCCCACCGCTCGCGAAGGCCTTCTTGGACGGCTTGAGGCGCCGGTCTTGGACGCTCGGTTGGGGAGAACCGGAGGTGTTCGCACGGCTTGAGGCCGCCTGGTCTCGACCTGTCCTTCGGGACCATGCAGACCAGACACCAGGGACCGTTCTTGGAGCCCCACAGAGTTTTCTTCAGACCCTATTGGCAGTGGTTTTCCCCCCCCCTATAGTCGGTGGAACCTTCCACCCACCCATGATGATGATGGACCGGAGGACCACGGCCCCGACGTCCCCGACGTACAGATCCTCCATGGGATAGGAAGACTGACCTGCCCACAGACCCTCCATCAATTGAACCACCCCTGGGCCTGATCGGGTCTGATGGAATTTTGTTGGGATGCCACTCGGGTCCATTCCGGTCCACATCGGGGCGAATCAACGGCGCGGACGAAGGGTCCGTCATGGCGCAATCAGCAAGGGCATCTTGGTCAAAGCGCATCTTTGTATGGGTTTGACATGAGGCCATACAACACCCATGATCTTGACCTCGCAGTCGTGCAAGCTCGAAGCAAAAGGCCATAGGAAGACACGGAGATACATCTCCCCATTGCCAGGTGTTGAACTTTCACTTAGCGGTGCTAAACGCGGGTACTAAAAGCCGCCACCTTTTGCCCTCCGTTCCGCGCTCTACTCTTCCCCGCTCGCTGCGGCTCGCCTTTCTGTGTTGAGGTCTGGTGTGAAGGCGGACGACCAGAACTTGTTGGTGAACATCTTCACCGTGCCCCAGTGCGATCGCGTGGAGGAGGGTGATGCCTTCATCCCTCCTGACCCGACGCTGGGTGCCGAGTGAGGCGAAGAGGTGGAGAAATGAGGCAAGAGTGCGAAGAACAGACGGTTCTAAAGTGGTCTCTGGATGTCTCTGGGTATTTCTGGATGGCAGACGTATATGCACTAAGTGCCAATCGTTTTGGATTTGGATCCGAAGGGCCAGTCGTGTGTGAAGAGGAACCGGACGGGGTAGGGATCGGAGTGGTTTTGTTGGGCCCTACTAGTACTTGAAAAGACGCCTCGTCGCGTTCCCCATGCGTTCCCCAACACGTCACACCACTTGCGTTGGAGTTGATGCACGTTCACTCGTTGGCCTTCTGGTTGCTCACAACCTTCCCCCTGGTTGCCTGTGGACCGTGGTCGCAGATTCCGAGTCGGCGCTGTTTTCGGAACACCAACCCTTGGCCCCAAAAATCGCAGGGTCCCGCAAGTTGCAAGAATAAAGAAGGCTCGTCACTTAGCCAGGATGATTTTAGTTTGAACTTTGGCCTGATCCCACTGCCATCTGGATGACGTAGCTGTCACGAAGGAGGAAAAAGGTTGTGGGAACGTGGAAGTGCTCGTTGGTAGCGGGCGTGTGGCCAATCATCCAGTTGGCTGCCAGGGTTCTGCTTCCACAGCTTGGGCCGTCCTCCTACCCAGTAGCAGTCGGAAAAAATAGAATCACCACTAAATCGGTTAAGACTTACCCTTCCATCCACCTGGCTTTGAAGCTGGGCCAATGCCGAATGCTCAGACCGCCCAAATGCTCCTTGGGATGCGAAGCCCTCGAACGGAGTGGTACACCAACGCTGCGTCGCACAGAGACGGTCTCTGTTCGTTTGGATGTTTGGGGCGCATTCTGCATTAGACCCGCACGACGCGACTGGTCTCGCCAGTCGTGTACATCGTATCATCAGTGATCGCCACAACGGGACCAGTTGATGCCCAAACTCGCCGACCAGTGGTGTTTCAGCTAGGTCAACAGAATTGCTGAGACGGGGACTTCCCGCGCCACTCGGTCGTCTTCGGGGACGTCTTCCACCACCTTCGCCCCAAACGTGACGTTGCCTCCCAAGGAATCTGGAATATGTCCAGAAGCTGCGCAACATCGTCGGAGAGGAGCCGCGATGGTCCGGTGAGTCCGGTGGTCCGTTTTGGATGGGGTGTTTCGATATATCTCTTTGACCTGGGGTGAAGTAGGGAGGGTCTGATTTTGGATGCTAGTGGTTCAGTTGTACTCCAGTGCGGATCTGATGGTTAATACATGTTAATACAAATATATCTTTGGTTTAGGTTGTATTTGGTGACGTGGAGATTGCACAAAAACCAGAGAAACGTATATACCAGAAGTTCCCAGGACTGTAGCCTTCACATGTTGTACCCATCAATACTATAGTATATACAAACAGACATAGGTCCCCCTGTTTGATCTTTCAATATGAGTTCTTTGTCTTCCCCATAGAGAGCCACTTTCGCAAAATGTTGGATTTGAAAGGTACTGGCGTTTTTGATACACTGATCAAATTCAACACCTTTAGACCTCAGCGCATGATGTCTTGAAGAAAGAAGTCACGGCACACTTCCATAGTTTCTGCCTCAAGCGCTGTGCTGGCTGTTTAGGAAACGATGAACCGCAAGGGACAGCTTCGCCCATTTTTGGGGGGAGACTCCAAGACAGTCTGCGTCGTTTACCTCCATAACGACCGACCACGGCCAAAACCGTCCAGTTGCGAGTACGCGGCGCGCCGCGAGAGGAGCGTAGCATCCGCGAGCGCCGCAAGACGCGCTTCGCCGACAAGTGCCCCGTTCGCCCAGCCCCGGTGGGAGTTCGAGTGGACCGAAACATGCGAAAAGATGGGACCAAAGGGACCGAATCCAGGGAAGATCCCAGAGTTGGGTGCTGGCATGGCACGGCCTGGAATGAAAAAAGAGGTAGGTGGTCATTTTGGTCAGTGATCTTCCTTTTTCCAAGTTTCAGGTGCCACTGGGCACTGGGGAGTTTTTCTTTTTCTTGGTCCAGAGACTCCTGGATCGCCTTGCGATGTGTCACGCTTCTCCAGGAGGATTGGTCGTTCGGACCGGGTCGCGTCGCGTGTCGCGTGCACCGCGACGTGTCCGTCGCTGAGGAACTTCGTGATGGCCAATCCAGGCTCTGACTTCCCGCGCTCCTGGACCTCGCGATTCCAAGTGGAGCTGGAAGGGTGACTGGGCAGCAGCTCAGGTGTCTCAGATCAGGTGAAGACGGGTGAGATCAGGTGAAGACGACTTGAAAGGAAGGTGAAAGAAACAAGTTCGAAACAAGTCACCCAATAGACATCAGGTTTCTTTGGCCTTGATCAACGGACGTGACATCATCCTTCGCATGTTCCCTACTGCAGGCGCATCTCCTACACGGCCCCCACCAAGTTCGGCTTGGTGAAGCTCGATGTGGAAGAGAGCTTCAAGCGAAGCTTGCTACAGGAGACGGAAAGATCACCATTGGGATACTCAGACGTCTTCCTGTGGGCCCCAACAGGCGACCTCCTCGCGTACCGGTCTCCGCGGCCGGTGCGCCCGACCGGGTGCCCGGGCTGCGTGGGCTGCGTCCCTGGTCGTCGGTTCATTGACGGTGATGGGAGATGAGTTAGATCATGTTAGATCCATTCTTTTGAGGAAAATGACCCAGAAAAAGAGCAAATATCTCTTCCAGTCCGGATGGTCTGGGGTAGATCACACTCTCGCCGGGTAGTTTTGGGATCGGTCGGGTGAAGAGAAGTGGTGGATGAACACCAGGAACAGGTGGAAAGCTATCTTTGAGGCACGGTGCAGAAACCGCCGATCGCAGCAGATCGTTCTCCGCTTTGTTCGCCCTCCAGGAGGTCATGCCCAATGCTGTGCCAGAGTTGCTGGAACGGTCCTGTGGGGTTTGTGAAACCAGCGACCGTAGCGATACCGAGCGATGAAACCAGCGAGCAAGTAGGGGGAGCGTCCAAAAATGTCCAAAATCGTAGGGGGCCACCTGTTTCAACCCTGGGGTTGGCCCTAAAAACTCGGAGGAGATGGGAGCGGCCATTGTTTTGCCCTGTGACCTTCCAAGACTGTCAAAAGGACATGTGTAACAGCGTAACACCAATACGAACGAAGCCCGTTTGGCCCCTTCATCATTTTTCGTTCACTTCCAGGTGGGTGCGCTTGACTGCTCATAAGCGCTTGAAATGAAAGGACATGACATGACTTCCAATGAGGGCACGAACCGAACGAACCGTCGTTTGGACTGCTCTTCTCACCGCCGGTCTTCGGGTTCTTCTAGTCTTCGATCTGGATCCCTTGGCACCAGTGGACCGAAATGGGTGCGGGAAAGCATCACCAGGCTGGTACTGCGCATGTCGCAGTTTTTTCCTTTCCCATGCAGGTCAGTGATACATGTAGATAGGTCAGTGTCAGGTCGTTTTTAATTGGTGTTTAGAATTCTGAGCGACCAGAATTCTGAACCCCGCACTCATGCACGATGGTTCGACCTATGATTTAGTCCAGGACAACCATTCCCCCAAGTGTGTGCCCATTGAAAAAGCTTCATTGGAAAAGCGACGATCTGAGGATCCACCAGGGTCTCGGCACACCCACATAGGGGCCTCTGAACAGCAAGGATTCGGGGATTCCAGAAGTTTGTGCGAGAAGACCTTCTCGCTGCGGCACAGAAATTGGTTGAGTAGATCACGGGATGTTTCAAGAGCTGCTTGAGGGTCCCCCTGTCTTCCAGAGTAGGACTTACTGAGTACTTCAAGACGTCCAAGAGCAGACAGGTGATGATAGGTGTGATGGGTTTTGAGATTTTTCTGTTTCGGAGCACCAAAACGTCCCCTCCTCTGGAAAGATTCGTTCTTCTTCCGTTCTCACACTGGGACCTCAGCAAGGCTGACCCCAAAAAGCACCGCACCGGTCCAAACCAACCACCCCGGTCCAAAAGACACGCCCCTTGAGCCGAACCTCGGTGGCGACCGACGATCGCTCGAGGTTTCAACAGACCACGGAGGATGGCATCATCTTCCGGATTTACAAACTGGGAAGCCTGGAGGCGGGTCGAGTCGGTCCACTCGGGTCCACCAGGTCCATGGTGTGTGTGGGAGCCATGCGCGGTCGCGCGCGTGGGAGCCATGCGCAAGACACTGCTTCGGGAGCTGTTTGTGTTTCCTTGTTAAAATTCATGGTCCAATTTGGTCAGTCCAATATCCACTGTTTACTGTATACACTTGTTTTAGGATTTCTTTGAACCTCAGGCGGGTGGTTGGGATCATGTTCTATAATGATCGATGCCTCTGACTGAAGCAACCAAGCAAGCTCGAAGGATCATTCCAGCTAGGAGCGATGCGCGATGACCATTTTCCTTTGGGTGGTGGTGTCCGATAGTGTTCAGAGCCTTTACCTTTTACCTGGGATGATTGAACCCACTGACTACCATGTTTCAAGCGAGTCGAATCCACCTGATAATCAATCCTGCTCTATGAACCGGTGGAAAGCTCCACTTCCATGACTATTTTGTGTAAAGCTTTGGGCACCTCATGGGACGAGGTCCCTCATTCTGGTCGTCACCGCAGTTCTGGTCGTCACTTTTCGGCCCCTGAAACATCGGGGGTTACGGCTTAAGGCTTCTGAATGAGCATGTTGGATGGGAGCACAAGCACTTCGCTTCATTTGGATCGTCCGCGGTTGGACGGTTTTGGTTTTCTTGTTTGGAGAAGCCTGGCCTGTGAGGAATTGGCAAATCCAAGGAGTGGTCTTTTGGTCTAAACCCGCGTTGAGTGGGAAGCTTCGGGAAGCTGGACCCCTCGTCATGCGTGAGCTTCACCCGAGTTGGTCTGCCCAGAAGTCCTATCTGGTCGAAGAACGCAACGTTCATGGCCACCTCCCAACATGGCTTTTGTGTCAAAACCAGGATACCTTGGTTGAACCTACCGACGTTGTGAAAACGGGTTCAGGGTTCAGCAAACCTCCAGCTTGGCGCACCTCAACTGCCTCGCGACCGATCTAGCAGGTGCGAACAATCCAAGAGCCAGAGGCCGAGGCGCGTGGGTGGACCAGCCACCGGTTGGGCCCGGATCCAGGCAAGGGCTGGACGTCTGTACAAAGCAGCCTGGAAGGGAAGCCAGTTTTAGGTCCTGACGAAGAAAACGGGGGGGGGGGCATCAAGTGGAAGTACTTTGGAAGTTCGCTTCCCCTCAATTTGGCTCAGTTGAAGTTTTGTTTCTATCTTCAAGCACTTTACAAGGTTCAAAGACGTGCTGGTCTTAGCCTGAAGTGGCATGGCGAAACAGCTGACGTAGAACAGTTCCAGTTATAGGGATTTACAAGAGACGAAGGTGCAGGGCAAGCTGTGTGATGGGGCTTCGGAACTCCTGGAGCCCTCCGACTAGGGGGAGATTAGACACCGCTGAGTCACCGACGGCATTGACCGGGGACCGCGCCCAGGAACAGGTTCACCAGGTCTTCAGTGCCCGGGCAGCCTGCTGGAACTCTCAAGGCAGCAAGACAGAGGCAGGCTGCCGTGAGTTTATTTCTTTATTTGTTATATAATGTTACTATAATGTTATATAAATCCGTTTTTTCTTTTTGCACGGGGTGCAGTTGAGGGCTCAAGATAGCCGGACTTAGTTTCGGAGCGACTTGCGGCCCCAGTCTTCTGGAGGAAGACGTCCTTTTTTGAGCCATAGGCATTCGCGGTGCGGTTGGTTCTGCTGGGCCTCGTAGCCCAAACTGGCATAGGCGCTTGCGATCGAGGAGATCACGAGCTCGGGCCTTCCTTCGACGGTTTCGGACTCGTACTGCTGCACGAGCAAAAAGAGTGCTCAAGGCTCTACGCCTCAAAGCACTCCTTGAGAGACACCACAGCCAGCCCAAATACTTGCTGGGAATCAGCATGTCATGGAAGGGCAGGTGGGGCTCGAATGCACGAGCAGAAGCCTGGAAAGGCTCATGGCCAAAGGAGAACAAGAAGCCGCAGGAAAAGTCCAAGAAGGAGAAGCCGGACAATCAAGTATTGAGGTACCACGACGGTACCAAAATCGATACTACAGTCGGTGGAAGTTCTACCTTGCAGGGCTCGTCTGCGCAATCTTCCTTGCTACAGGAGGAGAACAAAAAACTGCGGGAGGCCATCAAAGCCTTATCGCAGAAGGCCGATCTCTCGGAAGTGGAGTCAGCAGACGAAATCCGGAAGCTGGTCGAGACAGACCCCAGAGAGGTTCTGAGAGAGCAGCAAAAGGAGCTCAACAAGTTGAAGAAAGAGCTGACCAAGAAAGAGAAGATCGAGAGACAGTTAAAGGAGAAGGCGGAGAACCATGCCAGTTGGAAGGCTGGTATTCTGGAAGGAGTCAAGCGAGCCGATATCAAACATCTGGAAGAGATCAAGAAGCTGAAGGAGGAATTGGCACAAGTCGAAGACGACAAAGATGTCAAAGATGGGATGAGTGTAGAAGTTCCTCAGGGAAACGACAGTGCTATGGACTCGAAACTGGAAGATATGGACAGGAAGATGTACCAGATGGCTTCATATGTCGAGACAATGGAGCAACGGAACCAGGACCTGGCATATCAAGTTTCTATGTTGCTTACTGCTGTCAAGGGGAACACCGAAACACTACCTCCTCATTCTCCTCAGTATGTGAAGCCGCCAGCCAGAGCGGCGATGTCAAGTGTATCGGCCGAGAGAACCTCCAGAACTTCACGAGAAAGATCCAGATCGCCTTGTCGGATAGAAGAGTTGGGGACACCAGTAAATCCCTTGACGCAACAGGCTGTACAAGAAGCTCTGAATATTTTGCCTCCAGAACAACAGCAACATGTACTTGCAATTGTGGAGGCGGAACCAGAGAAGTTCCCTACAGTCGAGACCATTGTGATTCTGACCCAACAGATGTTAGCGCAGATGACCAAGGTGCCAGAAGAGGTCAAGATCGTGACAAGTGGACGAGGGCCTTTACAACCCTTCTGGAATTCCAGAGATCCTGTCAGAAGGTTGAATTCACATTCTGGCAAAGGACGAGCAAGGGCAATGGATGTAGAGGAGGACCTCGTTCCCACAGAGGGGACGTCATCTCCGCTGAATGCTATGACGTTATAAATGGTCAGTCTCACGGATCTTCACAAGGATGCGCCAACTTTAGAGGCAGCATTCTAGTTGAATTGTTCTCACTTTTTGACTTCATTTGGGCGGCATTCTCGCTTCGGGGTGGTTGTAGAAGCCTCTTCGAAGGTCTTCCTCTGAGAATGATGATGGAAGTCAATGAGAACGACATTCCTTTTGAAGCCTTGCTGGGATGGTTTCCGGGTGGTCCGTATCGTGACCTTTGGTATGGCTTTTCCTGGCGAGTGCATTTTGTTTGGCAGAAGCTCAACACAGATTTGGCTGGCACAGATTGGCAACATTTGAGTTTGCCATGCGGTCTTTCTGACATGAGTTCTTTGACAAACCTGATGCAGTATCTTTTTGTCACCACGATATTGTCTCCAATTCTGGCTTGCTTTGTGGTATGCTGGGTTGTTGAACTTCACGATATCTTTTCGCTTTGCCGATTTCATGGCTGGCAAAAGAGTAATGATAGAGTTTCCACGCACCTGCACTATCTGGCTTTTTGGAGTGGTGGGGTTTGTACCATTCTGAATTTGGCCTTGACCTTTGAGGATGTGGAGACAAGGGAGAACACCACAGGTTTTGATGATTGGGGTGTGCGACTCCTTACGGCAGTACGTGACTCCTTTCTGTGTATTTTTGGTGCCATGCTTGCAGCTCTCATTTTGTCTCATGGATGGAGACAGTTCTGGCAAAGATGTTCTATCCCTTTGACCAGGGAGGCAGGATCCATCCATGTGAGGCTGCCAGGAAAGAAGTTTGGCAGACTTGGCCTTAGTGCTTTGATTATGTGTATGTGTATTGCTGCTGAAGATTACAGAGAGACAACACATAACATGGCCAATATCATGCCTCCGAATGGAATTGCGGATCCTTTTGAGCCTTGGGGGGACTCGCATTGCACTAAGCATCTTCTTGATGTTTTCGAAGGCCTTAGCTCTTGGAGTTTTCTTGAGACGCCTGGTGAAGAAGCACGCGAACTGGGGCTGTACGAGGAACCCAATCGAGCTTGTCAATTTTGTGCAATGGAGAGACCACAACGAGTCGCCACTGCCAATGCATTTTTGATTCACTCTGTACCGATGAGTTATGGTGAAGGAGGGAACAGGTGCCTAACAAGAGGGCTTGGTGGCTCATACCCTCTGACCTGTCCCTCCTATGTTTTTGATAAGGCCAAAGAGCCCTTCAGGAAGGTGCCCAGATTTGAGCCAAGGAGTACTGAACGAAAGGTCGCCATGAGGAGCATGAATGATGACATCATTTCACTGATGCAAAGCTCTTCGTGGAAATCTGGATCGAGCAGCTCTGGTTATGTCGCTCGGGGACATGAAAATGCACAGCGTACTGTACGACAGCTGGAGATCTCTTTGCCGGATTCCTTTTGGCAACAGATTGGTATGGTCCAAACTCAGTTTTCTGATGTACACTTGTATATTCATGGTCTCAAGGGCAGGCATATGGCAACACGGACTTTAACGGTCTATGGAAGGAAGAAAGGTATACTTCCAAGTTTACCTAGCCGCATTGAGTGGCTATGGCATGACCATTATGACCGAAGGGAGTCAGCTTTGCTGTATCTTGTGGAACCCCAGCCTATTAGTGCTGCTGCGAATGGACAAGTGCACTTGGTTCTTGATCTTTGGCCAAGTCTTCAGGGAGCGCCAGTGCTCTCACAATGGACTATTGATGAGGAACCTGGATGTGCATTGCAATCGCACCGCTTGCAATCGCGTACGCCATTTGATGAAATTCTGATTGAGGGGGACTTGCCGAGAGAGATTGAGAACGGCATGAGGGTGGTTTATGCCCATCGAAGCCAGGAATATGGGCGACATGATGTCCTTCGTTTCCTTCAGGGAGCAAAATTTGATTTTGATCTCAAGACAAAGGAAGAATGTCTCAAGCAGGAGAACTTTGAAGGGCGGGTTGTCGCTGATTTTTCCATTGACCCTCTGCAAGACTCAACTTTCCTGATGCAAGTACGTCCCCTGATGGAGGATATGCTTGTTCGACACATCAGGCGGGTTCGAGGAGGCAATGTAAGGATAGATGTTTTGACGTGGATGCACCATGCGGAATTTATACAACAGTTGCAAAGGGATTTGCGTATCGTTACCCATAACCCTGACTTGCCACTGGGGCATAATATTCGCAGTCGCTGGGTTCATACCTTTGGACGCAGATCATGTTACATCTTTCCTGTTTGGCCTTCTCCTAGTAGTGGTAGGGGACCCGAGCCACACTACATTGTCACTACCTATACTGGACATGGATTAATACCTGCCCTGATAGAGTATGAGACGGCCCGAAGTTTTCGCCAAGCCAGCTTTGTCTTTCGTACTCACAATTGGCTATCTGTCCAGCAGGTCTTTGACCAGGTAAATCCACAGAACCAATGTCCGTGGGGGGGCCGAGTGCACACTTCGGTGTGGAGATGCCTTCTATGAATGGCATCAATATGTCCCCCTGTATGAAGGAATTTTTCTCAGATTAATGGAGATTGAGAGAGACGATTCCACGGATGAAAGTGCGACGTGTGATAACAGTGAAGACTTGGAGCAGATGTCTAGTGTAGAGGCTGTCAGTTCGAGAGACGAGTCTTTTGAAGAAGAGCATGTTTCTTTTATGCAGAGTGGTGCTCCCAGTTGGCAGGAAGAATTCGACTTGGAGGAAGAATCCTTCCGGCAAGCATTAGCAGAGCTTCCCTCCACTTTGGGTGGGTCGAGGGATTTGTCAGCTTGCCTGATTCCTGCCAATGAAGGTATGACTGATCCATTTCGGTTTTTCCTGGATTCTCACTTTGCCTTACGGGGAGTTGCCATGCACACGCTCTACACTTGGGTTGTAACTGGTCAAGTTGCTGTTGTCGCTCGTGTTTGTGTAATGGATGTCCGACGGTCGGCCACTGAAACCGTTCTTGTGGAATGGAGGGACACCGAGCAGGACTGGCCTATTCTTTTCGCATTTGCTGAACCGCAGCCTGCTCCTTTGTCCCTAAGAAGCTACCCAATAGATGTTGTTGGTCTCCTTCGTCCGCAGCGAGCCAGGCAAGAAAAGGTATATCTTGTGGATATCCTGTATGTTGGCCAGCCCAGACGTGTTGCAGTTCTCTGCAAACTTGGAGATAGGCTTAGAGATCTTGTTAGTCGGGTGAGCTTAGGACATTACTGCCAGTTGGAAGGTGTCCGATGCTTTCTGACGTGGAATGATGAGGATGAGAGTAGGGTCTGGGAATATGAAGATCCTGTTGAGGAAAAGCATGCCAGTGCCTTTCAGCTCCATCTTCGCGGACAGCCTAGAAAGCACCACCGTGTTGGCACGCAGAGTTGTAGTTTTATGCAACTAGGGTCTGTCGTTCGTACCTCACCGCCCAGGTTGCACCAATATGCGCAGCAGTGGTTCCGAACTGACGGGATGATCACAATATGGATTCATCCTCAAAGCATCCTGATGCAGGAGCATTCGACAATATGTGGTTTTAGGGCGTTGTCGGATATTCATGATCAATGTGAAATCATTTGGAAAGATCTTGGGTTGATGGAGCCGCTTCAAGTTGTCCCAATTGAGCCTCCACCAGTCTTTCTAGTTATCCCTAGGCCGCATGTAGTCGTTTTTGGAGCTGATCTGGAGGGGCACTTGCCTGTTTAGTGCCAAGTTTTTCTAGGACGTAGAACGAACTTGGTTTCGATCCTCCTGGAAAGCCGTTATCCGCCAATTGGAGTGGCTGCCCTTTTTCAGCTTGCTAGCCCTCAGCATGACTGTAACTATGGGGCTATCTGTTATGCTATCTATCAGGACGAGAGGTACCAATACTACCACGATATTCCGATAGTTGGCGGCACCTTTGTGAAGCTGCACGAATTCCCACATGAAAGTGAGGCCAGCACGACTTGCGACTCTGTGAGTCCCGCATCGTCGGCCACCTGGGATGATAACTTTCTTGGAGATAACACTGCAACTCCGGAGGGCACGACGCCGACTTTGGATGTGCATGGTCATTTTGATCCTGAAGAAAACACTGCAACTTCAGTGGAAGTGCTACGAGATTTGACTGAGGACCAGAGCACCCTTTTCCAGACCTATGCAGTGCCCAGAATTTTTCAGGTTGACTGGCCACAGGATTTTGCGGAAACAACGGAGACTGAGGAAGAATTGGAGGAATTGATGGACATGCTCTCCTTTCACACGTCAGTCTTTGGTTTTGAGAGACTTAATGATGAGGTGTTGGCCTATCGAGAGGCATTTGGACATTTCCCAACATTTGAGGCTCTCTATGTGGATGATAGATTGGAAGACTCCACGTTTCTTTTCCACGACCAGGATTGGAGCAGAGAGGCTTTTGTGGCAACTGTTCGTCTCTTTCTGGAAACGATGATTGACAGAAACGAATTTTCTGCCATTGCTTTTGTGCAAGAGATCCCTACTCCATATGAGCAAGGGGGCAATGATCATATTTTTGTCATTGTGGAGAAATCTTATGCTCCTCTGAGAGTGATGATTTGTGTGGTCATCACATTTGACTTGGACGACTCCCCCGAGATCTATGCACTTTCGGTGCCTCAATATGTCTGGAGCAAGGATTTGGTTCGTGATCTGCAAATGGAAGCTGTATGTCGAGACCCACGTTTTGACTGCCTACTCCGGCATGGGTTGCTAGAAATGCCTGTGGTTGTGGCATGGCAACCCTACCAGGGTATGAAATTGAATTTGGACATCAAGATGTTGACTTGCTCCAGTCAGGTTCCTCGTTTCCACATCATGACATCACAAGTATTAGAGGTAGGGAATCCTTCCGAGAATATGCCTGAAGATGGAGTTTCTCTCATGCAACAAGCTCGAATCCTGGATGAGGAGAATGACATGCCGACCACCTTATCTACACAGCGAGCTGACACCGAGAGCCTATGCAATGGATATTCATCGAGAGGACCTACTGACATAGCTCCTCACTTCATGAGCCAAGCTCAACAGTTAGAAGAGCTGCGAAGATGGTTGTGGGAGCTTATGGGAAACGAGGACTCAATTGCACTATATGTTTTTGAAAGAAATGGAGGAGATGTGTCGACGTATCGAATCCTTTTGCGAGCTGAAGTTCTAGGGGGACAGCCTCGATTTGCACATTGGATTCGGAGAGAGTTGGCGGCTCTTTGGAATGTACATGCAAGGATCTTTCCATTATTACCTGCTCCCTTTACAGACTTGCGTATTGCGGTCTTGTTGCCAAGGGCGTTTGGGTTAGATCTTCCTGTCCTGCTGGAAATCAATGATGGACAGGACTCCTGGAGAGAAATCCACATTATACAGCAGGCTGTTACCATCAACAGTCTAATCTGGCGATCGAGGCTGCCTGCTATTGTCCCATCGACGCTCTCCTACCAGGCAATGCTGGTCGGTGAAATGGCAGATCCGAATGATTTGGTGCCATGTAGCCCGGGGCAATGGATTACCATTCTTGTTGGTGCGCTGGGTCATTTGGGAGCCAATGGGACAACAATTTCGTCCCTTGAACCTGGTTTGCCTTCCTTGACTAGTCTAGCGAGTAGTCAGTCAAACTCCATACGACCTGGTGTACAACTTGAAGAACCAGTCGATGAGACGGGGGAAGATGCTTTGGATGAACATACGATCATGCAGCTGCCTATGGGAAGAGGATCTGATGCAGTAGAAGTGTTTTCCTGGTTCCTGGGATGGGATCAAAGGGATTCCATACAGCAACAGTCAAGAACATTTTCGTTTCCAAGGGACACAGACTTGGAAAGCAGGGCAATACAGACCTGGAATGACATATGCTCATCAGATCATCCATTGGTTGTGTTGATCTCTCCCTTTATCCAAGAAGCAGGTTTTCGGCCGCCTGCTGTCCTTGTTGTGGAGTACATCAACCAGTTGTACCAACCCGTGTTTATCGACCTGGAGACTTCCGACACGGAGGCCAAAGGGGGTTTCCTGTTACGGGACCTCCAAGCAATGTGTACCAATGACATATTTGACCAGGTCTTGCCTCAACATAGATGCCGAACAGTTGCAAATTGTTTTGTCCGGCTTCAAGGGCATTGGTATGAATGGGATGAGGATATCCAGATTCGTGCTGGTGATTACTTGCAAATGCTGGAATACACTGAAAGTGATGATGAACACTCGACCCTATGTGGCTCCGAAAGGCAAGATGAGCTTGCATTTTCTGAGACTAGTGAGGAGAGTGATTGCCTACAGTTTTTGCAGCTCGAGGTTTGGCACCGTGAGGCAGGGACTGGATTGCCACCGCCAGGCAATGGAGTGTATTGGGAATCGAAATGCCTTGATGCAATGGATGATCTTTTGCACTGCCCGGATGGAGACCATGTTGTCGATTTTCGGGATCCTTCAAGGCGGAGACCAATTCCTACCCCAGCCAGATCCGGGGTTTTGCCGAGAGTGGTGAGCATCAGTGATGCATTGATTGATGATCGTGCTCCTGAGTTACAGATCCCACTAGGACTCTCTGCCACAGAAATTGAACTTTTGATGGACTTTGATCCGGTAGCAGAACAATTGGAGACGCTCTTTGATGGTTCTGATCTGGACGAATATGTCCACCAGATGTTTCAAGCCGCTCCAAAGTGCATACCGGACCGTTGGAACCCTGCTGATTCTCATTCAGTCAGAATTTTTACGGATGGTTCGTACATCAATGGATCTGCTGCTTGGAGTTTTGTGGTTGTGGCATGTTATTGTGACCGTCAGGATTATGTGGGGTATCAATCGGGTGCTATTCCACTGCAAGGCCATCCGGATTGCCTTCTTGATACCCATGGTTCTGCGGTTTGTGCCGAGCAGCATGCGCTTATTTGGGCTAGCTGGTGGTTGTTGCGATACTGGAGACTGGCTGCTCTTCAGACTCCTATTGTTTTTCTGTGGGACTCGCAAGTAGCTGGTAGACAGGCAGAGGGCCTTTATGGAGCCGCCTCTGCTCTGGGCCGACTCTTACGTGGCCTGCAGATTGCTTTACAACAACTTACACCAGCTGATGTTGGACATCTGCATGTTCCAGCGCATCGTGGGCATTTGTACAATGAAGTTGCGGATACTCTGGCCAAACAAGCTCATGGCAAATGTCCAGCCTGCCCAGACGCGGGTCTCTTGCTGCAAATGGTCCAGAAGTTGGGACATTTGGATCATCTATGGCTTTTTGTACATCAATCTCCGATGATACCGCCAGGCAGTCATGGCAATATCAGATGGAAGCCGACCAGTGCTACAGCCTTTCCAAAAGAACTTTTGATTGCCCAGCTGTTGCCAGGTGAGGGTCATGAGGATATCACCAGTAGTAAGGATTGTTTTTTGCAACTGGCCTCATACAATGCCCTGTCCCTGCTGGGTGACCGGGGAGATCACACTCTCCATGCAGAGCAAGGCAGAGTCCAGCTGCTCAGAAGCCAATTTGAAAGCAGGGGCCTGCATGTAGTTGGCATCCAAGAAGCCCGAACAGAGCCTGGAATGATAGTGTCTCATACACACATTCGGTTTTGTAGTGGCAAAGCTGAGGGGGGCCTCTATGGGGTTGAACTCTGGATTTGTCGCGGACTTCAGATTACTGATGGCATAGGATTTCATCCTGGGGAATTCCTTGTGGCCTATGCCGAGCCGAGAATCATGATTGTCAAATACCAAGGTCAACTTGGCACATTCGGTTTCCTGGTTGCACATGCCCCACATACTGGAACTGCACCATCAGAACGGCGCGAATGGTGGGATAGATTCCAGACACAAGTGTCATGTACGCTTGGAGACCTTGAGTGCATCGTTTTTCTAGATGCAAATGCAACTGCTCCCATCGAAGAAACATTGCATTTTGGGGGATACACACAAGATCTCCCCAACAAGAATACTCCTTTTCTGGAAGCTTTTGTGCATAGAAATGGTCTGTTTGCGCCATCGACTTTCGAGGCATTACAACATGGCCCGCCAGAAACATGGACGCACAGGGCAACAGGTAAGAGATCTCGGATTGATTACGTTCTGCTCCCCTTGTCTTGGAAATGGGCGCAAATCGACGCATGGGTTGACACTGACATTCATGTAGGCCATGCCGGTTTTGACCATGATTGCACTTGCCTTAGTGTATCTTGGAAACAGTTGATTCGCAGACAGTCTCGCACTAAGCGTATTGATGACGCTGCTCTTCGAAATCCGCAGAACCAGGATCGGGTAAGGGAAATATGGGCATCCTGCCCACAACCAGATTGGAGTATGAATGCTTCACAACATGCTGCTTTGATTACCGATCATTTACAGAAGGAGTCGCTTCGGCTCTTTCCGAAAAAGCAGGGTCGACAACATAGAGAGCATGTCTCGGAGGAGAGTAGAGAGCTTCACAGACGCATGACTAGCCTTCGAAGAGCTTTATGCAGTCTGAAAAGGCATGACAACTTCTCCTTGTGTGCTGTGACTTTTCGAGCTTGGAAAGCACATAAAAAAGGGAAGGGGTTTAAAGATGCTGGACAGGAGTGGAATAAGCTAATTTCCATTGCAGCTGCGCGGCAAATGCAGGAATTGAAGCGTGTTTCCTCCCAATTTCGAAAACAGCTCCGATCCGACCGGAAGTGCTTTCTTCTTGAAATTGCAGAAGCGGCAAAGAACTCCAAGCCAAATGAAGTTTTTGCAGCTCTCAGACCAATTCTGCAGCCGTCTAAGAAGCAGTCGACCTTTCCTAAGCCTTTGCCGGTCTTGCAGGATGAAAATGGGGACACCCTGCAAACCATGGAGGAAGTGAATGCCAGGTGGGTTCGACACTTTGCCCAACTGGAAGCGGGCAAGGAGGTGGAGGTCACTGAATTTGTTCGACGTATGTTACAGCGTCAGCAAGATTCCTGTAAGCCTGCTGAGTACCAGGTGGAGGATTTGCCTAGTCGGCTAGAACTAGAGAAGGCTATTCGTAAGATGCACTATCGAAAAGCTCCAGGACCAGACCGGCTTCCCAACGAATTGTTGAAAGCTAGTCCAGGTGATGCTGCAAGGGTGCTCTATCCAATCCTTCTCAAGATGACTTGTCGCCTGGAGGAGCCGCTCCAATGGAAAGGTGGACAGATCTTCTCCTTATTTAAGGGGAAAGGGCAGCACTCTGACTGCCAAAACCATCGAGGCATTTTGCTGACGTCTGTTTTGGGGAAAGCAATCCGCTCCTCTATTCGAACACGTTTGAATGAACCTTACTTGTTTGCCACGGATGCCTTGCAGTTAGGAGGTAAGCCCATGCAGCAAGTCTTATTCGGCACCCAGGTCTCTCGACTTTTCGTTGATAGGGGCAAGCGCAAACAAAAGAGCACAGCGATATTGTTTTGTGACGTACAATCGGCATATTATCGTGTTTTGCGGCAAATTGCAACGGGTGCGCGCATGACCGATGAAGATCTGGCTTTAGTCTTGCATCGGATGGGCCTCGGGCCAGAGTCGATGTCACTCATTCATGAATGCATGACCCAAAAATGTGCCTACCAAGAGCTTGGAGCAGGACCTGTACAGCACCAGGTACTTCAAGAAACTTTAGAGGGCACATATTTCACCTATACGGGTCATGAGTTTATTCAAACACACCGAGGCACCAGGCCGGGAGACTCGTTAGCCGATATAGTATTCAATCTTGTGTTCTCGCAAGTCTTGTCTGAAGTCCAGAAAGAGCTCGAGGCCAGTGACTTGCTTTTGAAGGTATGCACAAGAAATGACCGAAATCCGTATCAGAATCAACCGACTGAACAAATGCTTCCAATGTTTCAAGTCACATGGGCAGATGACCTAGCAATCCTTGCGGAATTTGACAAGGCATCGCAGATTGAGAGCCGATTGGCACTGATTGCCTATGTACTGTTACAGAAGCTGCACAAATATGGCATGAAGGTTTCTATTGGAGAGACCAAAACTGCTGCAGTGATCTCACCAAGAGGACCCGGTGCCGTTCACATGAGGCGACGACTTTTTGCTGCGACTCAAGCGACCTTTCCGGTCTTGCTAGAGGAGAACGCGATACAGCTTCCTCTTGTACCTCGGTACCGGCACTTAGGAGGGATTGTGGACGCCAATGGGAGCATGTTGCCAGAAATTCGCACTAGGTTTGCAAAGGCGCGAGCTTCATTTTGGCGGGCGGCAAAACATGTGTTCCGACAGAGGCGTGTTCCCATAGAGACGCGCATGATGATTTTCAGGTCAACAGTTCTTTCCATCATGACTTGGGGGGGTGGGAGCCTGGGTTGAGCTCAACCATCGAGAGCACCAGGCCTTCGTCACCTCAACATGGAATTTGTATGCCATGATGATGCCCAAATCATTTGTTGCACCATCAAGGGATGATATACGAAGCTGCTTGACCTGTGAAGATCCGGAAGATCTCATAAGGATTGCCCAGTTTCGTCATCTTGGGGCCTTGTTGCGAACAGCTCCTAATATTTTGTGGTCACTGGTTGCTGAAGATGACAATGCCATGCAGATGTACCACAAAGCTCTTGCTTGGGCATTTTCCTTTCTGGATCGGGACTCGCCAGTGCGAGATGTACTGGATGGAGAGGCATGGAAGGAACTGGCAGCGAAACCAGCACAGTGGGCTCGCTATGGACGAACTGCCTTATATAGGGCAACGCAAGCCAAGCTTCGTGCCGCAACTACTGCAAGAGCCCATCGAGCAGTCCTGGATATTCTTAAGTCCAAGGGCCTCACTGATTCGTATGAACGAACGCAGCAGAGCCGACACATTTGTGTCATCTGTGAGAGGGCCTTCTCAGCGGCTCAAGGATGGTTCTTACATGCCTGCCAGAAGCATGATTATGTCAGCGAATCTAGTGAGGTTGTACAAGGACAGACATGCCATTGTTGCGCTAAGGTGTACTTGACACAAGAACGCCTTAGGCACCACCTGAGATATAGTACCAAATGTCGAGCTTTTTTTCGACAACAGCGTGGGCACTTGCCTCAGACTTCGGACTCTGTATCGCAGCATCCTCAGTTTCCCTGGTATAGGCTGAACCAAGAGAGATTTCAGGGACCAAACACTCTGAGCAGGGATGTTGCACGTACTCAGAAGAGTTTCCAAGAAGCACTCCAGACTTTCCTTTGTCCAGAAGAAGATGTTTTCCTTCACGAAAATTTGATTCTGGCGTTGAAGGAAGCCTGCCGAATCCCAGTGCCATATGACACTATTCTTTCAGCATTTCAGATATGGGTAAAAGACTTTGAGGAAACAGATTCCAGGATCTTCTCTGCCGGCTGTGAGGTGCAAGGCTGGCTTGAGGAGTTGGGACGGCAAACGCACAAAGACGATGTGCGGCATGATGACATGCTCGTGGCAGACGAAACCAGTCGTCGAGAAATCAGTTGTCGAGTTGCCGATACTGTTTTGAGAAGTTTTTTGCCCACCGAATTGATCATACTTCATTTATTCAGTGGCCGGAGAAGGGAACGGGACATCCAGATGGAACTAGAAAGTCTACCACTCCCCCCTGGTGTGGTGATGACCGTGGTCTCTGTTGATGTCGCTATAGACCCTAGCCGCTGTGACCTATCAAAGGATCATCAGCAAAAGCTGTGGCATGACTTGATTCGCGGAGGATTTGTTGCAGGGCTCTATGGCGGGCCGCCCTGTGAATCCTGGAGCATAGCTCGCTGGGAACAACATACACACATGCTGCAGCGTGGGCCTCGACCGGTTCGCTGTGATCCTGAGCTATGGGGGATAGATAGCCTGTCCAAGCGAGAGGGGCAACGAGTTTCTATAGGAAATGTTTTGATGCTTTTTTGCTTGAAGGCTGTTCTTTTACAGGCCCTCACTGGGGGTTTTTCATGGTTGGAGCACCCCCGGAACCCCCATAAGGGTGGAACGCGACACACCAAAGCGCCATCCATCTGGATGACACAGATCATCCGATGGTTCCAGGAAACGAGGTTGTTTGTTTTCTTGGATGTTTTGCAAGGGTTCTTTGGAGCTGACAGCCCAAAGCCCACCACCCTTATGCTATCTGGGGTCGAGCTCACCGAAGTACAGCGCTGTGAGGAATCTATGCGCAGTGCTGTATGTGCCAAGGGTTCAAACATCGGTTTAGAGGGAGGAAAATGGCGAACTAGTCATCTCAAAGAGTACCCGCCTGCCTTTTGCTCTTTTGGGGCCTCCCTCTTCCGATTATGGTTGAACCACCAGCCAGTCCGGACTGAAGTGTTCGCAGAAGCCACGGAGTGGCTCCGGAGTCTTGTACTGGCATTTGAAGACCAGGGACTCGCCGAACCCAGGCCGGACTACTTTGCAGGAAATTAGTGAATTCAGTCAGCAAGACGCTGAGCTTGACGACGAGCACTGTGCGTCAATGGAAATGGAAAAATGGGGTGCAGTTGGACCGTGCCTGTGAGTGCAAGATCATCCTGTCATGGACCTCCCGCGTTGGTCAACGAACGCCTCGGGGTTGGTCCTCGGGAGTCACAGTGCTCGGCTGCCACGAAGCGAAGCGGTCTTCTTCGGGAAGCGAAGTGGGGCGAAGGTCGGAGGATGTCTTGGGAAGGACATCACCAGAAAAATAAACGACGTGTGTACACTGTACACATGCTATATTTCTCTAAAAACCAGGAGATACTTACACAATTATCATACAGTTTACAGATGATTTACAGATCAGCATGGTCAGTCCTGGTATGTCTGTCCATGTCGACTATCGACTATTGACCCCAGCGATGCAACTCCTGGCCAACTATGAAGCATTCTCCGGCATGTCTTTCCCGCACGCCTCCATTTCGGGGGGTCACGGGGTGTTCAGATGAAGATACCGATCCCCACAGGGCCACACCGGAAGAAGCTACGGAGAACCACACACACACACGACGGTCGTCGGGTGAAACGGACCCAACTGATGCAACGGACGATCGTCTGCGAGGCGTCGCATAAGGAAAAACTTAGCAAATGCAAGATGTACATCGAGGCCTATGAGCATGAGGCTGGCCCGATGGACCTCGGTCGTCGTTCGTGTTCGCCTTCTGGTCGCGCCCACGTGGACAAAGGGACACCGTGGGAATTCCCTAACTCACTTTGGCAGGAGCTGGCAGCCTCCCAAAGCCCGGTCGGACACCGATTGGTGCAAGCCTTTCAAGAATGAACATGAACGAACCCCAGATGTTCCTAGATTCATGGTCAGAGTCCCTACCAAGCAGAGCCGGCAGAGCAAACATGGACGCCTCAGCTGGATGCCTCAGCTGCATCCCCTGTTCGGGCAGACACGCTGTCGGCTGGGTGGGTGTAACACCTATACTGTCCACAGACCACAGACTGGGTAAACATGACTTCCCCAACTAGGGTTGGTCACTCCCTTTTGACCAGGTATTCAATAGACGGAAGCGTCTTTCAGCGGGGACTGTCCAGAAGCCACTGGTACCAGGAACTCTGTGGCACCACCACAATGTACTCGACACATCCATTCTATGGCCGCTAGGCCATGTCGCAGGTCGTTCGCCTCAAAACGACCCCGCTCCGGTCACGGCTTTGGCTCCAGTCCCTGGATGGCGCGAGCCCTGAAACAGCCCCCCGGCGAGACGGGCGCCCCTCGGTGCGAGACGAGGCGTGCAACAACTTCTACATGGTCTTGGAGACGGAGGAGAAGAGCCTCGTGGTGACCGAGCGCCTGGCCAATGGCTCACTGTCCCTGGGTGGACAACGTGGGCAGACAACGTGGGCATTGTTGGGGGTGGCTGGGAGGGTGGTTGCCGAAGAGAAAACAGCAGCACGGGTGCGGTTTTAGTATGTTTTCCCCGAGCTGGGGCATCTCCCTTTTCTTTCTCTTAAATATGATGAGCTTCTATCAGAAGGATAAGAGATGTTGAAACCACAATGTTTGCAAGCTGGTTCACTCTTGCGACTGTCTCCTTGGTGGCCTCATGTAGGACTTGCGACGGTCTCATGGCGGGGTCGTCTTGTGAAGCGAGGACGAGCACCCGAAGTCGACCCCGAGATCCGCGGGGAAGCGAGCGGAAGGAGAAGCGCTGGACTTTGGGATGTAGATCTGTAGGGAGACCTCCCAAAGACCTCCTGGAAGAAAGAATCATCACCAAAACACATTGGTTTGGGGTCTCCCACACCTCAAAATGGTGAGACCCACTCTGGTCGGATTTCTGGATTTCAACCTCCAAGAGTTCTTTCCAGACTTCGGGATGTCTGACTGTCCAGACGTGGATGTTCTCCCCTTTGTCTTCGGGTGCTAGGGACCGAACACCAGGCAGGGCCTTCAGGCTGGTCCTCCACCAGGCTTCCAGGGAGCCTGCTGATTTTGGACCTGGTTGGGATCTCAGGTTGGAAAACACCTCCGAACACCTTCCACTTCCTCCAGTCAGTCCAAAAGTTCAGGTCTGAAATTGGTCATCAAGTCACCCGCGGGTCCTCCAGGCTTAAAGAGACCAAGCCTTTGGGTGCCACACCTTACTTACTAATCTCTGGGTTCCGATTTCCTTCTCTAAGCCACATTTCAGTGGTCGAAGCAAAGATCCCCAAGGCAAGCCAAACACATGGGTCGCATGGTGTCGCCGACACAGCGTTTCCCTCGACTTTTTCTGAAACATTTGATCCGGTTTCTATTGATGGATCCTTCCAGCCTGCTGATGGATCTCCAGCCTGCTGCTTCCAACGGGCCGCAGCTTCGAGCGGAGAGTGCCGCCTGGGTCGCTGCTCCGCGGGTCTGACTTGCCGCGTCGCGTGGGTGCGGCGGTGCACCGAGGTCCTGGAAGGAGAACCCTCAGAACTTAGAGGATCGAAACAGCCTGGCGAAGCTCCTCTTCACCGTCGACTGCAAGGCGAAGCGTTTGTCGGGCGAGCACGGAGGGCGGGGCGGCTGTGGAAGGGCGGGGGAAGGGCGAAGGGAAGGCAGGACATGGGGTGGATTCCGGTACTGTAGATGTTGAAGTTCGACTCAGAAAAATACTATTCAACAACTCAGACAGTTTGTTTCTGTCATTTTCTTTCATTGTTCTTTGGCGCTTCCCATGTTTGGTTTGAGTCTTGAGTCTTGATCTCGGCCAGATCAGACTTTCCAAGGATCATCCATTCAAACAGGGTACGAAGTCAAGGCTCACGGCTCACCCACTCGTTGCAAGGCTCAAGCACAGACCTGTGGGGTTTGAGGGATCCACCCTGAAAAGACGGGACGCCATGGAACAGCCCAGAGCACATCCTGATGCACATCCGAAGCGAGCAGAGCTCCACTCATTGACTGGACTCATTTGCATCAATGTATACCACCTAACCAGATGGAGATGTTTTTCACACCTAGACCGTTGGAGGGGGGTGCACCCACTAGACCGTCAACATGATCCTTGGTCGTGAGGCAAGAAGACCCATCCTCATCCTCATCCCTTCCCGTAGGGCGCAGTCTCCCTTCCTCTCCCCATCGCTCCGCACCTCCGCGCATCGCGTCTCGCACATCCGACGCGAGCAGAGTCTCAACTCGACCCATCGAACGCCCTGGTTCGATTGAGTTCTTTTGGGTTTTGGGAAGAGCCACCTTGGCTGGTTTCGACGGAGAAGTGTCGAGAGCCACCTCGCCAGGAGAACATGCTTTTGGGCGAGGTCGTTCGCCACTTCGAGGCGTGGAAAACCCACGGAATCGGCTCGTGGCGTATACGGATAGATCGGCGCTGGTGGCCATTTTCTGATAAGAATTATGTGATGATCATGGATGTAGAACCAACACCTGGTCCGTAGACAAAGTGGTCTCCAGTTATGCTGAAAAGAAGACTCATAGGGCGACAAGATGCCAAACCCGTGGTAACTTTGCGGTGTGTGCACATACATCAATATGACATATATATATATATCAACACATCATTAATCAACAACATATATTATCTATTATTTGTATATACACACACGTACACACATTGATTTAGTTTAGGATTAAAGCACTTGACTTGGGTCACGCCATGATTGGAGGGCTTATCGAGTTACCCTGGCTGAGTAGGAAGCTGCTGCACTTCAGGAGCTGCCCAGCGACAGCAGCCTGGATTGTCGAAAGCACTATGCCAAAGCCTTGTACAAGTTCGTGTCGGGCCGCAACCTCCGCGGCAAATGGGGAGGCAGCCCGCGGCCAGTATCAATCGGGTCGTTTACGAGGTTTGGATGGAGTGGAAACTGCGACCCTCCACTGCCCGAGTTGCATGGAGATGGGTGCTTATTGTTAGGAGGGCCCTTGAAAACATGGCGTGTCTTGAAATTGGGATGCATATCTGATCATTGGAAGAAGTCGGATTGGTTGGAGATCTCGTTGACGCCCAACTCCCAGTCCTCACCCACCAGATGGTGGCTCTTGAGTGAGGCGGGGTTCGAGAGGGAGTCCCATGCATGTGCACCATGGAACCGATATACCTAGAGTCCTAGAGCCCAGACCTGAGACCTCTGTTTTGATCGAGAAGGACTCAGAAGGACCATATTTTAGGTGGTGGTTGGTGGCCCAAAATAGAGGTCATTCAGGTTCGACCAAAATGGGGACCAAGCCCAAGCAGTGTTTCCTTCGTCGATGTTCCTTCAGTTCCTTGGTGTGAGTGCGAACACGTGTGTGGTGCCTGAGTCTAAGGCGCCCAACGAAGGCACGTCATCTTCGAAGTTATGGTGGATGGATAGTAGATGGCACAATGCCCAGAAGCAGGTTTAGATGGACGCCCGTCTGAAAGACATCTTGGGGTGCCAGTGCCAATCACCTGCAAAACCTTCGGCCCCTGGCCTTCCAGCGAAGGGTGAATGGGGCAGAAAATTGGACAGAAACAAGTGAAATCTTTCGAACTTCCATCAACCACTGCCCCTTTGGGACAACACAATTTCCTATGTTTCACAAAGTCTCCGCGGCTCCGTGTCCTCCCTTGAAATCAAGCACAACACACACACACAGAATCAAAACAACACATCACTATCGAAAAAGAAGAAGCCGACGCCGTCTCCCTTTTCCCGCACCGCCTCTCTCGATCGATCGATCGCCCGCTCTGCCAGGCAGCGCGCGGCGCTACGCCGCGCCCGCGCCCAAGCGTGGCCTCGGGATGTCCATGGGACGCCCCGAGTTTCAGGCCAGTCGCGCAGCGGAGTCCAGGGGAGGGAAAGAACGGTGACCGCAACGAACGGTGCCCGCAACGCCGCGGAAAGCGAAGGAGTTTTGCGAGTGTTTGGAGGGAAGTGTTTGGAGGGACATGCGTGGCAGGGCAGGGTGTTTGAGGGTTTGGGAGAGGTGTTTTGAGGGTCCAATGGGCAAGGATGCTAGTGTTGGAAACCCAAGAAATTGAGAGTTATTGACAGTTTCTGGATTCTTGAATATTAACAGGTGGAGGGAGTATTTTGCGAAGAGTTTCACAAATGCAGGCAGGGATGAACGGTTCGACTTTTGAATAAATTTTGAAGATATGCTACGGAACAGAGAAAATCAATGCACATGTTAGTTTTACTGTTGTTCTCCGCCTTGAAGCAAGAGTTCAGAACGTCACTGAAGTGAGAACGTCTTCAGGCAGTTCCTAGTTCTCCAACCATCCTAAGAACGTCACTAAAGTACACATACAAAGATCATAGACAGCACTGTCTATCGTCCATTCTTCCTGGTGCGACGAGGACACGGAGATGCCACAGGTACTGACTACATCCATGTTTTGTTCACTCGACTCCCTTCAACCACATCTGTGGATCGTGAGAAAAAGCGACAGGAGATGCTTCAGCTTCTTGAGCAGAAATGGGCGTGAACACTGTGCACATTTCCACATGTGGTTTTTCGGGGGTTGTGCCCTGGTTGGTTTGTGGGCAGGGACGGACGATGTACTCACATCTTTCAGTTGAGCTCGTCTGACGGGTCGTTCGAATGGCGACTTGGAACATGTGAAGGTGTGGCCGCCAACCCCCGAAGAGGCCAGCCCTGTCCGACACCCCCACACAAGCCGAAGTCTTGGAGAGGGGGCGCCCTTCCGTTTCTGTTTCGCGACATCCCTTCAACCGAGCATTGTTTTTCATTGGTACTCGTATGTCGTGTTTTCCAGTGTTTTTTCCAGCCGCCCACCGAGTCACCCAAAAGGACTCTCATGGCTCGAGGGGCCTTGTGGCCTTCCGGGAAGAACGAAAGCAAGGGAGCGTGTCTGACACCGCCAGGCCTCGTCCTTGACGGGCATCCGAGGGCTCTGAGCGGTGGAGTGACAACTGCGGCGGTGGTGAGCAGAGAAGATGGATCCTTTCATGGGAAGATGGTCAGACCATGGCCGCCGATCTGTCGGTTGAACCGAGGTTAGCAAAGAACAGTAAGAAGCCAAGCCTTGAGTCAGACCCTGCAGCAGAGCAATATGAAGAAGGAGATTGAGATTGCACATTATATACTCGTCAGACGTATCACAAAGCACAACAGAGTAGATCCCGAGCAGAGAACAATGTAGAATCTCAAGCATGAGAATTGGTTTCAACCTGGTGTTGTGGCTAAAGGACACCGAGACCTAATCTGAAACACACAAATAGGTGTTGCAGAGGAGCATGGCCAAAGCCACGTTTCCCTTTAGCTTCCTTGTTGGTGTGTAGTCTTGTTCCGATGTGTTTTTGGGGCCATTCCATTTCCCATGTGGAGCCAGTGCGATTCGATAGATCTGGGCCTTGGAGTGAAGGTGCTCCAGCCTGGGGGTCAAGTCATGGAGATGCTGCCAGGTTTGAATCTCAGACGTTGGTGGGCAATGGGTTGGTGGCAGCATCCCTTCTGAAGACAGCGTGCAAGTCTGCTGGGTCAAGCCGATAGCATCCTGAGAACACGGAGGAAGACAAAGCACCCGGAAAAAAGAATGGGTTGCCGATGCCTTTTTGTGCTGAAGAAGACTGAGAGCAGAATGATATTCACTATAAGACTATAAGCTGCAGGGGCATCAGGGGCCAAATTCACTTTAAAAGAATCCAGGTCAGCGCAAATCTTGGGCTACGATCCAGCAATCGAGCGAGCACGGAAACTCACTTCTTCCCTGCATGCGGATCTCAGCAGCGATAGCAGGAGGCTTAAAAGCAGGGGCCTCGCTTCTGTCTGGGCGGTCGAGGGAATCGGGACGACTTCAGCGTTCCGCTGGATGGTGTTCCTTCGTTCCCCAAACATCCGGAAACAGAGCGGAAAGGGCACTCGCCGTGGAGGCGATCTGGATTGATGTGTGGACCAACTGGTCATCCTCGAAACGGGCGGCACAGACTTGGACCACTCAAGTGTCAGGGAGGATCTTTAGGCAAAAACAGACGGTTTTTGTTCCAATGCTCCCAGTTTGCTCTGATGTAGTTGATCCTTTGTTTCATTTTTATCTAGAGTAGGCAGTCGAAGAACACCCAGTGGCACAGGTTTACCCCATGAAATCCGCTGGTTTGGGCCGAAGAGCACGCCGGTGAGTGGGCCTTCTACTCCCGTCTGGGGACTTGGGGCGTCTCTGCAGCTGTTTTTTGAGAGGATGAGACTGAGAGTTTCGTTGGAGGTGTTCCCCCACCCTTCTCTTCAACGATCTTTTGCCACCAGCAGTCACAAGACAGGGTGCCGAACGAACGGAGGATATAGGGGTGCCCAGCACATCTCCTCACTGGATGGGACAAAAAACCACCCCGTCTTGTGACTCCAGGCACATTCTTCTTTCGATCCTGCAAACCAGATCTTTTGGCCTCCACCAAAGGCTTGGCCTCCAGAAGGCCACTCTCGTGGCCACTGTGTTGATCGGGCCGCAGTTGGGTTGGGTTGGCTTAGGCTTAGACTTAGTCTCAGAGCTTATGGACGAGTGTAGACTCTTGGTAAACCACCCAACATGAAGCATTATACAATCAAGAGTGTACATGAGGATGGCGTGACCCTGGGTGATTGGCTTCTTTTTCAGCACCCAATCCTCCTGATGATGGAGTTCCCTTCAGACGAATCACTGAAGAGCTTATGGCACAAAAGGGGCATAGGTGGTGGAAGACTACTTGACGACGTATGGTTCCATGTCAGGCCATGTCATCTTCAGTGATGCCAGTGATATTGCTTGTCCCGCACGCAGCTGGGGATTCATCCAATACTAGACTAGACACCCCCAAAAAACAAACATCCGAAAAGGAATCTGAGGTGTACAGAGAGGTGTAACCACTTGTTGAGGTAGATAATTCCTTTGAATCCCATGTCCCACCAATTGGGGACCTGATTTTGACACCCATGTCCCACACGCAGCTCACATCAACCACACGCAGCGCAAGTGGACCTGGCAATCGAACGATTCGGAGCCGATCCAGCTGTGCAGCCGATCCAGAGTGGGATGTGGGATGTGTTCCTTTCATGCGGGATCCAGAGTTGATCTTTCAGTTCACCAGGCCAATCCAAGAAAAAGAAACAAAAGAACAATGTCTCAGTCGAAGGATGTGGATGTTTGTTTTTCTTTTCCAAGATTCCCAAGTTTGCATTCGCACTCGCCCCTGATATTAGAACTCTCAGCACGCCGCCGCTGCTCCTTCTGTGATGGTTCGCAGTGATGAGGTGGATATCATGTGACGAGTCATGACCTTTTGTAAGGATGGCACAAGAACACACAGGATTTTTGGCAAAGGAGACCGTCCCTACCTAAACACCTCTTGGGTGACACCTCTCTCTTCGTGCACCTCAACCAAAGCCCCACAACTGGACACCACTCAGCTACAGAGCTGGTTTGGCGGTTGTGCAGATCAAAAGCAGTACATGTACATCCAAAACATCCTGAAGAGAGAGACTGGCATGTGTTTGGTAGGGCCTGCCTTGCTTTTCGGGTTCGACATCTCCACCTGACATCACCAGAAAACGAGTGAGAGACCGAGTTAGGATGGAAGATCCCGGTTAGTTCGGTCCCTTAACGCCACAAAAAAGGTCACACAGGCACTTGAAAAAGATCACGAACTGAAGAAGCGGGATGAATTCCGGTTTCGGTTTTTCGGTTGCTTTTTTGGGTCACTTCCAGAAGGCCATGGCAGGGTGCGCCGTGAGACATGAAGACGACCGACCTGTGGAGATGTTTGGCTCGTGGTGGGCTGAATGAAACGGAGAAGCCCTTTCTAGAAAGCCCCAGTCAGGGGGTTGCTACGGCCGAACTACACCTACACCCCAGACATAACCTCTGTTTTGATCGAAGAGGATCATATGTTTGATGTATTTTGGGTGGTTGGTAGTGGTCCAGAATCCAGGTGATTCAGGTTCTGGGAGCTATCTACATGCAAGACGGGCAGGACCCGCCTTCGAAGGCTGACCGTGGCACAGTCGGTGCTTACAAAAGCTGTGGAGCTGGAAAAACCCTCACAAATGGCCTGAGTCTTCAGTGAGATTTCTGTCAAAACACACCGGTCGGGGCACCACATGGTGGTTCAACCCGCACCCAGTCCCGGCTCGAACGGGGTGGTAAA